TCTCCGGTGTATATACACCTACTCTATAACCCACGTTTCACATCCAACCTTTATTTTACTCCACATAATCCTTGAATTAATACATTTATAGTCCCTCTTTTCCTGCCATATCTTATCCTTCAACATTATTGCTACTCCTATTTTAGCTCTAACTCTATTTGAAACCCCTGACCTAATCCCATTTATTCCTCTCCACTGAAACTCTCCCACCCCCTTCAGCTTTGTTTCACTTAAAGCCAGGACATCCAGCTTCTTCTCATTCATAACATCCACAATCATCTCTTTCTTATCATTTGCACAACATCCACGCACATTCAGACTTCCCACTTTGACAATTTTCTTCTTCTTATTCTTTTTAGTAATCTTTACAGGAAATGGGGTTACTAGCTCATTGTTACTGGCATTTTAGTTGACTTTTACAACACACATGGCTTACGGAGGAAAGATTCTTATTCCACTTCCCCATGGATATTCAGTATGTTAGTATATATTAACAATTACACAAGGTGGAAAAATTACAGAATGTATGGATTGAGGAGAAAACAATCAAAGGGCCCCACTTAGCCCTTTCCTACTATAAATCTGCATGAAGAAAGATAAAAAAGCCTTCACAAGAGTACGTTTTGTGATGGATGCTTGGAGGGATTTAAAAGCACAATCAGCTTGACTCACGAAATCGTAATGACACGATTACAAACAAACCATACCACGGGCAGGATTGAACCCACGGTCAGAGAGTCTCAAAACTCCAGACCGTCGCGTTAGCCACTGGACCAGCTAGCCACAATAAGATTCGTCGAACTAGGTATATTTCTACACCATAGGAAGGATAGCATAGGCACCACTGTGACCACAAATGCAAGTTTTCACAGACGAATCTCCAGTGGTCACAGTGGTGCCTATGCTAACCTTCCTATGGTGTAGAAATATACCTAGTTGGACGAATCTTATTGTGGCTAGCTGGTCCAGTGGCTAACGCAACGATCTGGAGTTTTGAGACTCTCTGACCGTGGGTTCAATCCCGCCCGTGGTATGGTTTGTTCAAAATCAGCTTCATAACAAAGCTTTGGAGATGAGCATCAGCTGATCACGGAGTCATGGAAAGTCACCCTCCTGACTTAGCGGAAATTATTTTTGAGGATGGTTTCAGTCGTGAGTGTTTAATACTTTTGAGACAGGACTGTGCTGGAAGTGTAAGCCATCAAGAATTCCCATTAACAGACAAGAAAAATCTGCACCTGGTTTTGAGGCAACTGAGGGTTGCTTCAGCTTGATTCTGTGAGAAAATGCAACAATCTTGAATGGAAGCCCAGGGTTATTTATCATGGAGAATATTACAGTATGTTAAAAGGTAAAGACAAAATCTGGACACCAGGTGGTCTAATGAGGCAGCATGGATGAATGAATCCCTGGTTTATGATTAGTTCAACCCTTATTTTATTACTTCAAAAAAGATGAGCCTGGCTAGAAAGAGCCTTGCATTCAAAGTTTCCTCCTTGATAATTCCTGCAGTTTTACATTTGTGGACCCAAATGTGAAGGTTGTCTTTTACCACTCAAAATGACACTTCCTACAGCCACTGACAAACTTTTCAAAGATGTATATACCAGCCTTTGTAATGGTTGTGACAAAGCATACATAGGGGAAAACTAGGAGAGACCGAAGACTCGTGCTAATGAATACAAGTACGCCTGTTGTATCAACAATGAAAATGCTTGTATGGTGTACAGGAACACTTTACTCACATCTCACGAACTGAGAACAGGCTGAACTTAACAGTGTTTAAGAGAACCACATCAGCAGAGGGGCTTTTAATTTAACCTTGCCCCCTTCACCCACATCATACTCAATCCTCAAATCAACATTCCCGGGTAACTGAGCATTGCAGTAGGCCCACTAGATCTTTAACCCTTTGACTGTTTTGGTCGTATATATACATCTTACGAGCCACCGAGTTTGACGTATATATACACTCAAAAATTCTAGTGGCTTCAAATCAAGAAGGAGAAAGCTGGTAGGCCCACATGTGAGAGAATGGGTCTGTGTGGTCAGTGTGCACCATATATAAAAAATCCTGCAGCACACAGTGCATAATGAGAAAAAAAAAAACTCCAACCATTTTTTTGGATTAAAACGCTGACTTTGTGGTGTATTTTCGTAAAGTATTTATGGTTGTATTCTTGTTTTCTTGGTCTCATTTGATAGAATGGAAAACATATAGAAATAGAGGTGATTTTGATTGATTTTACTATGAAAAGAACCTTGAAATGGAGCTCAAAGTAAGGGAAATGTTTAATTTTTGCCGATGTTCAAAAGTAAACAAATGATGTCATTGTCCAATAAATGTCCAAGTAGCCATTCGAATATGCAGTCATGAATGGGCTGATGTTATTTATACAATTATTACAGTATTGTAGTAGTCTGCATAACAGTAAATCTTCTATTTTTTGTTTGAATAAAAATTCAAAATAGAAAGCAAGAGTAATATCAGAGGGGCCTGGAGACGTGACTGATGAACAAAGAAAATGTTATTTTAGAGCCAGGAATGTCTGCACTGTTCATTCTGGACCCTATTTTGAAATTGGCATATTTTTTAATTTGCATGAAACCGGCCAAATTGCAAATTTCTGACCACATTATTGGGTAGTTGAAATCGGTAAATGGGCAGCTTCTCATAGTCAATCGATAGAACAAATGGAGTTCTAAAGAAATAGGTGTGAGTTTGGTTGACTGGAACAATGGAATTAGCCGAAAATAGGGCTCAAAATGGGTGAAATTGCGGATTCGTAAATATCACCGAGGCCGCTAACTTTGCGAGAGCGTAATTCCATAAGTTCTACATCCCATCAAATTTCGTTCTTATGGTGTCATTACCATCGTGAAAAGATTCTCTATCATTTCATAAGATTTTTTTTTTTTTTTTTAATTTTTCGATACCAGGAGACACCTCAAGATTTGGGGTTTCGACAGTCAAGGGGTTAATGACTGAATGTACAAGCCATATAAGAACAGAATGGAAGAGCAATGCAAAAGATCTACTGGCCTATACAAGGTAAGTCCTTCTCAAATTTCACTCTTCTCACTCTTGAGTTGTCCAAAATAATTTTAAGGCTACTCAAGATTTCAGCTTAAATTACCTAGCTTGGTGGATTCCTTCACTTGAACATGACAGTCATTTAATAATAAACAGTACAGTGAACTGTAATATCAGATAATTCAGATGTTGCAAGTGTATGGAATAGGTAGCAAGTTAGTAAACACTGTAAAGAGTTTTTATGAAGATAGTGAGGCTCAAGTTAATATGTGTAGGAGAGAAGGAGATTACTTCCCAGTAAAAGAAGGTCTTAGACAGGGATGTGTAATGACACCATAGTTGTGTAAAATATTTATAGATGAGGTTGTAAAAGAAGTAAATCCTAAGGTGTTGGGGAGAGCGGTGGGATTAAATAATGGGGAATCAAATACAAAATGGGAGTTGACACACTTTTTGCTGATGATACTGTGATTTTGGGGGATTCTAAAGAAAAGTTGCGAAGGTTAGTGGATGAGTTTGGGAGGGTGTGTAAAGGAAGAAAATTTAAAGTGAACATAGATAAGAATAAGGTGATGAGAGTATCAAACGATTTAGATAAAGGAAAATTGGATATCACACTGGAGGGAGGGAGTGTGGAAGAAGTAAATGTTTTCAGATATTTGGGAGTTGACTTGTCAGCAAATCGGTTTATGAAGGATGAGGTTAACAACAGAATTGATGAAGGAAAAAAGGTGAGTGGGGCACTGAGGTATCTGTGGAGACGAAGAACGTTATCCATGGCAGCAAAGAAGGGATTGTAGGAGAGAATACTGGTACCAACACTCTTATGTGGGTGTGAAGCATGGGTTGTAAATACTGCAGCGAGGAGTCAGCTAGAGGCAGTGGAGATGTCGTGTCTAAGGGCAATGTGTGTGTAAATATTATGCAAAAAATTCATAGTGTGGAAATTAGGAGGTGTGGAGTTAATAAAAGTATTAGTCAGAGGGCTGAAGAGAGGCTGCTGAGGTGGTTTGGTCATTTAGAGAGAATGGAACAAAGTAGAATGACTTGAAGAGTGTATAAATCTGTGAGGAAGGCAGGCAGGGTAGGGTAGGGGTCGTCCCTGAAAAGGATGGAGGGAGGGGGGTAAAGGACATTTTGTGGGCGAGGGTTTTGAACTTTCTGCAAGCGTGCTTGAGCGTATTAGACAGAAGTGAATGGAGATGAATGGTTTTCAGGACCTGACAAGCTGTTGGAGTGTGAGCAGAGTAATATTTTACGAAGGAATTCAGAGAAACTAGTTAGCTGGACTTAGAGTCCTGGAAATGGGATGTACAATGCCTGCACTTTAAGGGAGGGGTTTGGGATATTGGCAGTTTGGAGGAACATGTAAGCTGTCGTATCTGAGTGCCTCTGTAAAGACAGTGATTATGTATGAGTGATGGTGAAAGTGTTGAATTATGAAGAATGTTTTTTCTTTTTTTTTTTTTGGTCACCCTGCCTCAGTGGAAAATGGCCGACGTGTTAAAAAAAAAAAAATCTACAAACCAGAAACTGTTATATTAAATTGAATATGGAGTAGAAAACCTTAAGTTGCACAATCACAGCTCACATTTTCTTTATTATAAATTCAGGTTTTCATTTGTAATAAAAGCATGCCTATTTCCATTAAGGTGCATGGGAGCAGGAGACCCATTATCACAGTAATCCTTTGATTTAACAAACTTTGGAAATGTATGACAAAATCTGCTGGATCAGCCAAGACAGAAATGACACACAGTGCCCTTCGGTTATAGAATTATCAGTTATTGTTTCACTCACAGCAAAACAATGTCATCTCTACCCACCACAACAATCAATAAACAGAGGATTTACTATACATCATACTTTCAAAGTCTAATACAACAGAATACATAAGAACTGTACATAATATTGTCATCAATTATCAACTTGCACTTAATAATTTCACTGGACTCATGAGGATTACCTGGTCTTGAGTGTGAGGAAATCCCTGCTTCTCTAGTGGCTCTTGAATCTGGCTCCACAAATCCCGATGCAACTGCTAGATTGGAATCCCAACAGGATGCACCTTGGTCTGCAACCAAAAGAACTACATCAATACTTATCATAAGTCCTTGTCATTATGATGACTTTGTGACATGGATCATAATCAAGAACTACACTGCTCAGCACATGATGAAAGAAAGCTTCCCTACAAATGCATTCAGTAAGACATTTCTACTAATGCTCAAAGTACAAGCATATTTCTCTTCCACCCACGACAATGATAAATATTACAGGAATTATGTTGACGACAATGGTTAAACCAGAGTAAACATTAACTTAATAAGGTTTACTCCAGAACAATTAATTACTCTCTCAAACTTTGTTTTCTATTGTTCTGGAGAAAAATTTTCAAATGCTTATTCAATGTTTATTCGAAGTTGAGAACTTAAGGAGCACCTAGTTTTGTAATAAGTTATCAAAGTTTGTGAGAATATGAAACACTCTTTTAGCTTCCATCTTAACTTCCAGCCAGCTGTGTTTATATAGTTGCATCATATCTACCTTTAAAACTCCTGTACAAAGGTTAAGACACGTGCAACAGCTGGTTATCTTAAGTGTTTAAACATTTTGCCTGTGTGGTAGGCTTCATCAGTCAAATAGAGGAGAATATATTGTAGACAGCAGTAGTAGTAGCAAGGTAAAGATGATGTAATCTGTCCTACCAGCACTATCACCACCTATCACCATCAACAGCACCTTATGACCACTTAGCAAAACTACCACCACCTAACACCATCTATTACCTATTACCACTCACCACCTAATACCATCTATCACCTATTACAACTAACACCACATAACACCCTCTATCACTGCCTTTCACCATCATTTATGACAGTAGTATTTATTACTGTTCCTGCTACCATCAAATTCTATCACTAACACAATCATCACCCAAGAGATGCTGAGAGTGAGGAGGGAAGTTTTCCATGCAGGATTCAGCCCAATTTCAAACTTTTCCCCAACTTTCTAGCACATAGGGGAAAATTTGCTGAGTGGAACCAACTGAAATTCAATTTTTTTCAATTCAGCCATGTTAAACATAAGCTAAATCCACGTTCTAATAATTTTGGGATATAAATTTGATATAAATTTATTTTTCTTTCATTTTGGGTCACCATGCCTAGGTGGGAAACGGCTGAAGCGTAAAACAAAAAAGATTAGTGTTCTAATTAAAATGTGCTACCTAAATTTGTTATAAGAGGCCTATCTGTATATACAATGTGCATCAGTGGGCCAGTAAAATGTACATATGTGTTGCACCCAGAATTAGGGGTTAAAGCAATGTATTGCACCCAGAATTAGGGGTTAAAGCAATGTATTGCACATTATCTAGAACACTACACACCTTTACCTCCACGTGATGATGAATGCCGTCGCCGCCTGCGTCCAATGAATGCTCCCTGGCAGCTGCCTTTCCTGGTGCCTTCTTCATCCTCAGGGTCATTACTAGCTCGAGCTCTAGGACCTCTGCGTCGCCTCTTTGGGACAGCTGGAGTGGAAGGGCCCTCTTCTGTTTCAGAGCCCTCTCCATCAGCCATAATAACTTGAGCAAGATGCCCTTCATGCTGACGCTTGACTGGTGGATTTAACCTAACACGGCGCCGAGGTTCACTGCCTAGGGTACTATCCATAGTGTTGGAGTCTGAAATATAGCAGTCATGAATAAATGAGAAAGTTAAATTACATTAAAGCACTATAATGTTTGGAGGGATGATTGTAGATTATCAAAGCACATTCAAATCCTTTTAACCCATTACTTAAATATATAAGAATACTGTAAGAGGAATAATGTAAAGGTAAAAAGTGACAAAAAGCCATTATGAAAAAATCCTACAATGATTTAACCAATGCAGAGTATGAACAACTATGTATCTTAAGAAAATCAAGATGTCAGCATCCAGGGAAACCTATTTGCACAATCCAGTCATTATGAGTGCCAGTGTCCAAACAAAAAGTGATAGTAGGGATCAAGAGTCAGATCTTACTTCCCTTCTCCCCATAAAAATTCAATTAGGTAATTACATAAAGTGCACTCTCTTTCACTATATCCAACTGCCTCTATCCTCTCCTCTCCTGTAACACTGCAGGACCTGCACTCTAAAGGAGGGGTTTGAGATACCTGTTGTTTGGAGAGATGTCTGAACTGTCATATTTGCGTGCCTCTGGTAAGATGGTGCTAGTGTGAAAGATGGTGACAGTGCCTTTTTTGGGTCACTACTTGGTGCGAGACAGCCAGCAAATTGCAAAAAAAAAAAAGAAAAAAAAAAAATGAATGAATGCTTGTAAGTTCTTATTCATAACTATTACTAATCTCCTTCACCCTTTGTATCTTCTTTTGCTGTAAAAATAAAGTAGTAAGAGAGTAACTGCTTCTTTAACACAGTTAAGGTATGAACAGATGTTTTCTTGGAGGGGCCAGGCCGAGGTTTGGTAGATGGTAACTCAACACTGCCACCAACCTTGAAACGCTGCACCCAGTTCCTCACCAAACGCTCACCCACACTAACATTCTCCACTATTTCTTTCATCTGGTGCCCAGCTTTGTGAAGCCCTATGATTTGAGCTATAATTCATGTAATATTTACATGCATTGTCATGGATGGAAGATAAATATGCTTGTACTTTGAGCATTAGTAGAAAAGTCTTATCAAATGCATTTGTAGGGAAGCTTTCTTTCATCATGTGCTGAGCAGTGTAGTTCTTGATTATGATCCATGTCACAAAGTCATCATAATGACAAGGACTTATGATAAGTATTGATGTAGTTCTTTTGGTTGCAGACCAAGGTGCATCCTGTTGGGATTCCAATCTAGCAGTTGCATCGGGATTTGTGGAGCCAGATTCAAGAGCCACTAGAGAAGCAGGGATTTCCTCACACTCAAGACCAGGTAATCCTCATGAGTCCAGTGAAATTATTAAGTGCAAGTTGATAATTGATGACAATATTATGTACAGTTCTTATGTATTCTGTTGTATTAGACTTTGAAAGTATGATGTATAGTAAATCCTCTGTTTATTGATTGTTGTGGTGGGTAGAGATGACATTGTTTTGCTGTGAGTGAAACAATAACTGATAATTCTATAACCGAAGGGCACTGTGTGTCATTTCTGTCTTGGTTAATCCAGCAAATTTTGTCATACATTTCCGAAGTCCGTTACATCAAGGGATTACTGTGATAATGGGTCTCCTGCCTGCCATGGCATTCCTTATCGGTAATGTGTAACACCAACAGAAATAAGTTCTGCTCCCACGCACCCTAATGGAAATGGGCATGCTTTTATTACAAATAAAAAAACTGAATTTTTAATATTGAAAACTTGAGCTGCGATTACGTAACTTAAGGTTTTCTACTGCATATGCAATTTAATGTAACAGTTTCTGGTTTGTAGATTTTTTTTTTAACACGTCGGCTATTTCCCACTGAGGCAGGATGACCCAAAAAGAAAGAAAGAAAAAACTTTCTTCATAATTCAACACTTTCACCATCATTCATACGTAATCACTGTCTTTGCAGAGGCACCAGATACGACAGCTTAGATGTTCCTCCAAACTGCCAATATCCTAAACCCCATAATCAAAGATGTATAGCCCCAAAACCCTAGGGAACACCAGACAAAAGATGGGACGGATGAGAGACAACAGTGCAACAGTTGCTCTCACCATGGCAGCCACGCGAGCAATGAGAAGTCACTGTGAAGTGTGGCGTTAGGCTGTAACGTCATTCTAATGGCCACTACCCAGCAGAATGCACCGACAAAATAAGACCCCCCTGTATGGTAGGCCTTTGAATTTCATCACAGCATTATGCAGGGGCGCTCACCCGGCATAATTCCGTAACAAGCACTGTATATTGTTAATAATGTTAAAAGATAAGAGTCCTTGTGAATGCATGCAGCTGTATTTGCAAAAGTTGTATGGATTTTTCTCATTTGAATGTACAGGCAGGCCCCACTTGTACAGTATAACCAGGGCCTGCCTGGACATTCAAATTAACACATTAGCCATTTCCCACCAAGGCAGGGTGGCCCAAAAACGAATTTTTTTTATCATTCATTCAATCACTGTCTTGCCAGAGGAATGCTTACACTATAGTTATAAACCTCATGCTTCATAGACCCACATGCTGACACATCCACTCCCAAATATCTGAACACATTCACCTCCTCCATACTCTCTTCATCCAATCTGATATCCAATCTTCCATTACCTAATTTTTTTCCTATCCTCATCACCTTACTCTTTCCTATATTCACTTTTACATACCCTACCAAACTCATCAACCAACCTCTGCAACTTCTCTTCAGAATCTCCCAAAAGCACAGTGTCATCAGCAAAGAGCAACTGTGACAACTCCCACTTTGTGTTAGATTCTTTATCTTTTAACCCCACACCTTTTGCAAACACCCAACCATTCACTTCTCTTACTACTCCAGCTATAAATATATTAAACAACCATGGTGACATCACACATCCTTGTCGAAGGCCTACTTTTACTGGGAAATAATCCCCCTCTCGCCTACATACTCTAACCTGAGCCTCACTATCCTCTTAAAAACTTTTAACTGCCTTCAATAACCTACCTCCTATTTCATACATTTGCAACATATGCCACATTGCCCCCTTATCCACCCTATCATATGCCTTTTCCAAATCCATAAATGCCACAAAAACTTCTTCAGCCTTATCCAAATACTGTTCACCTGTGTGTTTCACTGCAAACACTTGGTTTACACACCCCCTACCTTTCCTAAAGCCTCCTTGTTCATCTGTTATCCTGCTCTCTGTCTTACTCATAATTCCATCAATAATAACTCTGCCATACACTTTATCAGGTATACTCAACAGACTTATTCCCCTATAATTTTTACACTCTCTTTTGTCCCCTTTGCCTTTATACAAAGGAACTATGCATGCTTTCTGCCAATCTCTAGGTACCTTACCCACTTCCATATACAGTGGACCCTCGACCAATGATGGCATCGACTAACAATAAAATCAGGCAACGATGCATTTTTGCGTAAAAAATATTGGCTCGACCAATGATGAAAAACTCGGGTAAGGAAATTCATCCTGAATGCGTCTGCCTGTCCGTCCAGCCTGAGCGCCTAAGCTGCCCTGCCTTCAGCTAGTGTGCCATTGTTTACAAGCCAGGGCGGACAGTTTCGCGCATTCATGTGATATATTTTGTATTATTCCATTGTTTTCAGTGCTTTTAACTGCTAAATAAACCACCATGGGCCCAAAGAAAGCTTCTAGTGCCAACCCTGTGGCAAAGTGGGTGAGAAATACTATCGAAATACTACTATTGTACCACGGTCAGCTATTGCTGCACCACCGTCAGTTGCTGCTGTACCACCATCAGCTGCTGCTGCTGCTGTACCACCGTCACCTGCTGCTGCTGTACCACCGTCAGTTGCTGCTGTACCACCATCAGCTGCTGCACCACCGTCAGTTGCTGCTGTACCACGGTCAGCTACTGCTGCACCACCAGCAGCTGCTGGTGCTCATGCTGCACCACCATCAGCTGCTGCTGTACCACCGTCAGCTGCTGCTGTACCATGGTCAGCTGCTGCTGTACCATGGTCAGCTGCTGCTGTTGCTGCACCACCGTCAGCTGCTGCTGCACCACGGTCAGCTGCTGCTGCACCACCATCAGCTGTACTCCTCGAAGATGTGGAGTGTTGTTGGTGTGGCTTAACGAGAAACAATTACTGAGAAGCAATTAACCCCAGAGGGTTAGCCACCCAGGATAACCCAAGAAAGTCAGTGCGTCATCGAGGACTGTCAAACTTATTTCCATTGGGGTCCTTAATCTTGTCCCCCAGGATGCGACCCACACCAGTCAACTAACACCCAGGTGAACAGGAAAAAATACCTGGAACTAGTGCTCATATTAGTGAATCTAAGGCCAGCAAAGGTTGGTTTGAGAGATTTAAGAATCGTAGTGGCATACACAGTGTGATAAGGCAGGGCAAAGCTGAAAAATTCCAACCCCAACAAGTGTTCAATTGTGATGAAACTGGCCTGTTCTGGAAGAAAATGCCAAAGAGGACCTACATTACTCAGGAGGAAAAGACACTCCCAGGACACAAGCCTGTGAAAGACAGGATAACTCTCATGTTTTGTTGTAATGCTAGTGGGGATTGCAAAGTGAAGCCTTTACTTGTGTATCACTTTGAAAATCCCAGAGTGTTCAAGTAAAACAGTGTCTCATCACTCATCAATAAACGTGTCATGTATTTATTGTGTATGTCTCATTCTTTTCTTTGTTGGGAAATGTATATTTCATGTAAAAAAATTATTTTTTTAATACTTTTGGCTGTCTGGAATGGATTAATTGGATTTCCATTATTTCTTATGGAGGAAATAAATTTGGATAAGGACAAGCTCTCTGGAATGGATTAAAATCGTTGGTCAAGGGTCCACTGTATTAAATAAAAATGCCAACCACTCCAAAACTATATCCCCACCTGCTTTTAACATTTCCATCTATATCCCATCAATCCCAGCTGCTTTACCCACTTTCATTCTACTCAGTGCTCTACACACTTCCCCCACACTCACAATTGGTTCTTCCTCACTACTATAAGATGTTATTCCTCATTGCCCTATACATGAAATCACAGCTTCCCTATCTTCATAAACACTTAACAATTCCTGAAAATATTCCCGACATCTTCCCGATACCTCTAACTCTCCTCTCCTATTTTTAACTAACAAATCCATTCTTTCCCTAGTATTTCTCAAATTATTAACCTCACTCAAAAACTTTTTCTTATTTTCAACAAAATTTGTTGATAACATCTCACCCACTCTCTCATTTGCTCTCTTTTTACATTGCTTCACCACTCTTTTAACCTCTCTTTCTCTCCATACACTCCTCCCACCTTGCATTACTTCTACTTTGTAAAAACCTCTCATATGCTAACTTTTTCTCTTACTACTCTTTTTACATCATCATTCCACCAGTCACTCTTCTTCCCTCCCTGTAACCACAAACTTCTGCTGAACAGTAACACTATATTCTTAAACTTACCCCATACATCTTCTACCCCATTGCCTGTATTCTCACTAGCCCATCTGTCCTCCAACAGTTATTTATATCTTATCCTAACTGCCTTCTCCTTTAGTTTATAAACCTTCACTTATCTCTAACTTCCTGCTTCCATTTTCCTTGTATCCCATCTACCTTTTACTCTAACAGTAGCTACAACTAAAAAGTGATCTGATATATCTGTGGCCCCTTGATAAACATGTAGTCCAACAAACTACTGTCATTTTGCCCTACATCATATCTTGTATACTTATTTATCCTCTTTTTCTTAAAATATATGTTACCTATAACCAAACCCCTTTCTATACAAAGTTCAATCAAATGCTCCCCATTATCATTTACACCTGGCACCCCAAACTTACCTACCACACCCTCTCTAAATGCTCCTCCTACTTTAGCATTTAGGTCCCCTACCACAGTTACTCTTTCACCTGGCTCAAAAGTTCCTACATACTCGCTTAACATCTCTCAAAATCTCTCTCTCTCCTCTACACTCCTCCGACCCTTATTTTAATCCACATAATCCTTGAATTTATCCATTTATATTCCCTCTTCTCTCTCAATAACTGATCCTTTAACATTACTGCTACCCGTTCCTTAACTCTAACTCTCTCAGATACTCCTGACTTAATCCCATTTATTTCTCCCCACTGAAACTCCCCTACCCCCTTCAGCTTTGTTTCGATTAGGGCCAGGACATCCAACTTCCTTTCATTCATAACCTTTGTAATCACTTCTTTCTTATCATCTGCACTACATTCATGCACATTCAAACATCCCAATTTTATAAAGTTCTTCTCTTTAGTAATTTATACAGGAGAAGGGGTTACTGGCCCACTGCTCCCGGCATCTAGTCGCCTTCTACAACATGCATAGCTTACGGAGGAAGAATTCTGTTCCACTTCCCCATGGAGATAAGCAGAAATAAACAAGAACAAGAACTAGGAAGAAAATAGAAGAAAACTCACAGGGGTTAGTATATATATGCTTGTACATACATGTGTAGTGAGACCTAGGTGTAAGTATAAGTAGCAAGACATACCTGCAACCCTGCATATTTATGAGACAGAAAAAGACACCAGCAATCCTACCATCATGCAAAACAATTACAGGCTTATGATTCACACTCATTTGGTAGGACAGTAGTATCTCCCAGGGTGGTTGCTGTCTACCAATCTACTACATTATTTACAGTGTGAAATATGCACTACAAATCATCTTCCTTCAACAAACTGGCCATATGCCACTGAGGCAGGGTGGCCCAAAAAGAAAAACAGAAGTTTCTCTTTATAACTTTAGTAATGTATACAGGAGAAAGGGTTACTAGCCCCTTGCTCCCGGCATTTTAGTCGCCTCTTACGACACGCACGACTTATGGAGGAAGAATTCTGCTCCACTTTCCCATGGAAATAAGATGAAAAGAACAAGAAGTAGTAAAAAAATAAAAGAAAACCCAGAGGGCTGTGTATATACTTGCTTGTACATGCACATGTAGTGTGACCTAAGTGTAAGTAGAAATAACAAGATGTACCTGAAATCTTGCATGTATATGAGACAGAAAAAAAGATACCAACAATCCTACCATCATGTAAAACAATTACAGGCTTTCGTTTTACACTCACTTGGCAGAACGGTAGTACCTCCCTGGGTGGTTGCTGTCTACCAACCTACTACATTATTTACAGTGTGAAATATGCACAGCAAATATGCTAGGTAAAAGGACACAAGTGCATCTAATGTGACGTTGTATTGTAGCAACATTTTGCTCTCCAGGAGCTTTGTCATGCTCCTGGAGAGTGAAACATTGCCACAATAAAATGTCACTTTAATTGCACTTGTGTCCCTTTAACACACCGGCCGTATCCCACCGAGGCAGGGTGGCCCAAAAGGAAAAACGAAAGTTTCTCCTTTTACATTTAGTAGTATATAAAGGAGAAGGGGTTACTAGCCCCTTGCTCCTAGCATTTTAGTTGCCTCTTACAACACGCATGGCTTACGGAGGAAGAATTCTGTTCCACTTCCCCATGGAGAGAACAGGAAATAAACAAGAACTAGTAAGAAAATAGAAGAAAACACAGAGGGGTATGTACATATTGTGTAACATATTGTGTGTAACATATTGTCAGTAATTCTACCAACATTAATGCACTGTGAATACTTTACCTTCAGAAAACTGATCAAGCTTGGTGGTGTCGCCTAGACATTCTAATTCAACTTCAGATGAATCTCTGCCAGACTTGCTAGAGTCATCCAACTTGGCTGTTTCAGTGTCCCTGGTGATGATAATTTACTTAATACATACTTATGCTTGTATATTAAGAGAAAATAAAATATACACAATTCTATACATAGAATTCTTTCAAATTTTCAGTCAAAAAGCCTTACCCTCTAGGTGAATCTGATATATTTGAGATAATACTCTCTGGAGTGGTTGGTGGAGTATTGTCCATGACCGTTGTTTGAGCAGACGACTGACCACTCCCAGTTCCTGCCATAGCACCAGCATTACTTGATGTAGAAGCTCCTGTTGAGGCACCAACTGAAACACTGATGCCACTGCAATTTCTTACATTTCCTGACACAGTTGTAGCAGCTACTATGGTTAAGTTAGGATTTAGTACTGCATTATTAACACTAGACACAGGCCTGGATATCTGTTGGAATTGCTGGTCTTGGTGCTGAGGTTGCTCTTGGTGGCGGAGGGAGCAATGCTGTTGCAACTGTTCGGGATGTTGACGCAGGGGTGGGGGTGCATTATGTTGCGAATATGAATATTGCTGAGAATGTTGGTGTGGTGGTGGCAGTGGAGGTGGTGGCGGTGGCGGCGGTGGTGGTGGGGATTGTTGTTGTTGTTGTTGTTGTTGTTGTTGTTGCTGCTGCTGCTGCTGCTGCTGCTGATGCTGCTGTTGTTGTGGATGCTGCTGTTGTTGATGCTGCTGTTGTGGATGTTGCTGTTGCTGCTGAGTTTTCTGGTGATTCTGCTGTTGCACATGGTGCTGATGCTGATTTACTTTCAGCTGTGTTTGTTGCTGCTGTTGAACTTGGTGGTGGTGTGCTTTAATTTGGTGGTGCTGTTGCACCTGTGAGTGTTGTGGATGAACTTGAGATTTATGTTGTTGCTGCAGTTGTGGATTTTGTTGTTTCTGCATCACTGATGAATTCTCCTGCTGTTGCACTTGTCCAAGTTTCTGCTGTTGCCCTTGTAGATTTTGCTGATGTACCTGAGGGCTTTGTTGTGGTTGCCCCTGTAAATGCTGCTGTAGATGTCCTGAGAAATGTTGCTTTTGTCCTGGATTCTGTTGCTGTGTTTGAGTGTGTGGCTGTTGTTGTTGTTGTTGTTGTTGTTGCTGCTGCTGCTGCTGCTGCTGTTGCATCTGTGAGTGGTGGTGATGCTGTACATGTTGATGGGTTTGTTGTTGAGTCTGCTGCTGTGGAACCTGTTGCTGCTGCTGCTGCTGCTGCTGCTGGACTTGTTGTTTCTGTAACTGTGTGTGTTGTACCTGTGACTGCTGCATTTTTTGTTGAAGTTGAATTTGTTGCTGCTGAATCTTTTGAGGACAGGCCTGGTGTACCTGAGGAATCACAAGTTGATGTTTTTGTTGCAGGACAATTGGCTGTGACTGTTTTAGAGCCTGCTTCAACTGGTGTTGAGAAGGTAACTGTTGTTGAGAGAGAAGTTGTGAAGATTGTAGAGTTGAAGGTTGGTGAGAGGCAGATGCTACTGTTTGCCCAACGGGAACTGGCCCTCTTTTACCAAAACTGCTGCCTGTGGGAACACTGGCAAAGGGCATTTCATTCTTTAGATCAGGATGCTGCTGAGGCTCTGAATCGGTTGCAACAGCATCATGTGTCATAGGACTACCAGGTGGAATAGTTTCTTTGCACAATAAATCACCCAATCCTGTTTCTACTTCTTCCTCTACTCGTTTTGGGGTGGCGGAAGCTCTGGGCTTCTTTCTGAGATGTTTTGTATCATCCTCTTGCTCTTCTGTCTCTTGGGTTTTGGCTAACTCTTTGCTTAATTTGCCTTTCAAAGATGTCTGAATCACTGCCTCTTCCTCTTCCTCTTCGTCATCTTCCTCTTCCTCTCCATCTTCCTCTTCCTCATCCTCTGCATCTTCATCTTCATCTTCCTCCTCCTCCTTCTCATCGTCTATCACCTCACTGTAATGACCACCACCACCATCGTCATCATCATCGTCATCATCATCATCTAAATCTTCACTTTTACTTCTTGCATTTTCTCTTTCTATGTCTGACACCAGCTTCTGTAAACTTCGCACAAGTTTCTCTCCTTCACCATACAACCGTCCTCGTCTAGACCTCCTCTCAATATCAGGTCTTGACAGTCTGCTATCGGAATCAGATTCCTCAGAGGTGTCGTGGACAAACTGACAACTCAGTGCCTTCATCCTCCCTGAGGTTCTTCTTTTCTTATCTGGGCTTAGCTTACTGTCAGTCTTACACAATTCTTCTTGCTCGTCCTGATCTTGCCGTGCTCTCTTTACAACAGCTTCAATACTTTCTTCTACTGAGCTCTCTCTCTTTATTCTATCAATATCAGAGCTACTTTGACTTAAAGAACCAGACTCACTCGTTGGCACTGTTTCTATGGAAGGAGACTGAATATATGGTGTAGTAACTCTTGGAAGTATGTCCTTCAATTTTTCATTGTTTTCTGAGCGATTCAAAAGGTGAGGAAATATATGTTGCTGCCTCTGTGAGAAGGGAATAACTTTAGCATCTGCTTTCTCATCAGTCTTAGTTGGAAGAGGTGATTTCTCAGCTTTAACATCAAATGTTTGTTTAGGAACAGGCTTGGCCAAGGCTTTAGACTCAATAACTGTCATAACAGCCTGAGTGAGAAGATGTGGAGAGCCAATAGCCTTTGAAAGTGATGCAACTGGCCTTTCTATATTAGCAATTGATTTAGTCTTCACTGGAATCATGTGAAATCTTATAGGTTCCTTTAAAGGAGATGGGGATTTAGAAGAATCAGCTGGACTTGATTTTGGCGAAGGGCTTTTTGAAAATTCTGGCTTGATAATTTTTGCTTCTGGTATGGATACCACTGATGGTTCAACCTTCAATGGTGTGTCCCTCTTTAAAAGCACTTTTCCAGGTGGAGTTATAATTGCTGTTACAGCAATTGTATCTTTTTTATCAGGTGTTATATTCCCTTCAGATTGTACAAGAATATTTTCTTTACTATCAGGAAGAGATCTCTTAACTGGTGATTCTCTAGGAAGAACCAATCGTTTCTGAGGACTTGGCGAAGTATCACTATCAGATTCTGTCTTCTCACTTTCGCCTTCCTTAATATCCTTTCTAGGTCTCATCTTCTTCTTGTCCTTACTTTCAGCTTCAGCTTCTTCACTAGCCACAACACCAATATTCGTCTTTATCCTGACATCTTTTCTTGCACGCATCTCGCCAAAATCAAATGGTTCAGGTTCTTTAAATTCATAAATATCATCTTCTAGAGATTCCAACTTTGGTGATAATAGTTTTGTTGCATCTTGCATAATTGGCTTTACTGGAGATTCTGTAATTCTCTTGGGAAGAGCCTCTAAACACTGTTTAACAGGAGACTCTGAGCTTTTCTTTTCGGCTGCTGTATATGTGGCAGGCAGCACTGGTATTAATCTTGGGGTCGTCTCTTTCAAAACACGGTCTTCTTCTTTTTTAATAGGTTTATCAAGACCTTTCATTTCTGACATAATGGCATTTAAATCTATATCCTTTCCACAGGGCTCCTGCTCTTCCTCTTCTTCCTTTACCTCTACTATCTGAGTTTTCATTTGAGTTTCCTTTGGGGTTTTATCCATACTACAATTATTTATGGTGGGTTCTGAGGTAGGAGTGGAAGAAGCAGAGGAGGATGCTGAGATGGCAGTACTACGTCGCTCAGAACTAGCTCTAGTGCGAGATTTTTCTGATCCTGTATCAACATCAGACTCATAATCTTCACTGTCACTCTCTGTGGTTCCTGAAAAAAATAGCAATTTATTCATTATTATAAGCTAAACATGGATGAAAATATGTTCTACACATTTATCCTATACTTACTGTTAAATGTATAGTATTGCAATAAATTTTTCTTAACCAACTGCAGTACTGTAACATTAAATCCCTTTTCCTGATCAAGCTATTATCTCACCTGTGATGGCATGTCTGGTACGTCTCTGGTCTAAAGAAGAAGGACTATCTGGCTGCGAAGGTCCCCTGTCTCGTGTTGCCCTTGTGCTGGGGCCTGATACATTGCTGGTGCAGCTAGTGTCACTTTTTTCACTACGCTCACTTTCACGTCTCTCACGCATGCTCCCAGGGGGTCTCCCACGCTTGCCAATACTTGCCTTTGGAGAAGCAGTAGATTGAGCCTGGTAAAATAATGGCAACTTAGCTAATTTATAATGACTAGAAAAAATATAACACTGATCCCCCAGATGAATACTTTCACTAAATATACAATATACACACATCCAAGCCACTCAACAGAATATACGAGAATGTAAGGGACTTAGAAGTGACAACGTCCAAAGATCTTAGATACAAAGTTCACAGCAGTGATCAAAGAAAATAATTGGCTCAATATCAAGAATCATGAAAATAAGCAATGATCAGCCAATGATGATGATGATGATGATTTTGAAGGTGCTCATACTCCTTAGCAAGCAAAGAACATAGGTGTGAAACAATCACTTGTAGGCAGAGAAGTTGACCATCTCAAGAAAAAATCTACTATTCAGAATACTTATTAATAAAGATGCAGAGCAAATTATTTATTAATATTAACACTTTTGGAAGGTCATTCCTCCTGTTCTTCTAAGCCAAAACTAAAACACTGATCAAGCATTCTTTGTTCACTTCTAGATATTCAGAAAAAGAGTATAACAAGATATGAGCAATTTGCAAGACTAGGTGCATCATAATACATTGTTATACATGTATTTTATTAACACATCGGCCGATTCCCACCAAGGCAGGGTGGCCCTAAAAAGTAAAACTTTCATCATCATTCACTCCATCACTGTCTTGCCAGAGGAGCACTTACACTACAGTTATAAAACTGATTCAGAGTGCAGACACTGTACTTCCCATCTCCAGGACTCAAGACAGCCCTGATGGTTTCCCTGAATCCCTTCATAAATGTTACTTTGCTCACACTCTAACAGCACATAAAGTATTAAAAACCATTTGTCTCTATTCACTCCTATTATATATGCTCATGCATACTTGCTGGAAGTCCAAGCCCCTCACCCACAAAACCTCCTTTACCCCCTCCCTCCAACCTTTCCTAGGCTGACCCCTACCCCACCTTCCCTCCACTACAGATTTATACACTCTCAAAGTCATTCTGTTTTGTCCCATTCTCTCGACATGTCCGAACCACCTCAACAACCCCTCCTCAGCCCTCTGGATATTAGTTTTGGTAATCCTGCACCTCCTCCTAATTTCCAACCTACGAATTCTCTGCATTACATTCACCCCACACATTGCCCTCAGACATGACATCTCCACTGCCTTCAGCCTTCTCTTTGTTGCAATATTCACCACCCATGCTTCACACCCACATAAGAATTGGCATAACTATACTCTCGTACATTCCCCTTTTTGCTCCCATGGACAAAGTTCTTTGTCTCCAAAGACTCCTAAGTGCACAACTTACCCTTTTGCCCTCATCAATTCACCTCGTCCTTCATAGACTGACACGTACACTCCTAAATATCTGAATACATTCACGTCATCCATACTCACTCTCTCTCCAATCTAATATCCAATCTTTCATCACCTAATCTTTTCATCCTCATCACCCTACTCTTTCCTATATTCACTTTTAATTTTCTTCTTATACATGCCCTACCAAACACATCCACCAACCTAGGCAACTTCTCCTCAGAATCTCCCAAAAGCACAGTGTCATCAGCAAAGAGCAACTGTGACAATTCCCACTTAGTGTTAGATTCTTTATCTTTTTAACCCCACACCTCTTGCCAAGACCCGCACATTCACTTGCCTTACAACCCTATCTATAAATATATTGAACAACCACGGTGACATCGCACATCCTTGTCTAAGCCCTACTTTTACTGGGAAATAATCTCCCACTATCTTTTTTTTTTTCAACAAACCGGCCGTATCCCACCGAGGTAGGGTGACCCAAAAAGAAAGAAAATCCCCAAAAAGAAAATACTTTCATCATCATTCAACACATTCACCTCACTCATACACAATCACTGTCTTTGCAGAGGTCCCCAGATACAACAGTTTAGAAGCATATCCAAAACCCCTCCTTTAAAGAGGAGGCATGGAACTTCACATTTCCAGGACTCAAGTCCGACTATATAAAAATAACTGGTTTTCCTGAATCCCTTCACTAAATATTACCCTGCTTAAATATTACCCTGCTCACACTCCAACAGCTCATAAGGTTTCATAAACCATTCATCTTCATTGGCTCCTATCTAACAAGCTCATGCCCCTTGCCCACAAAACCTCTTTTACCCCCTCCCTCCAACCTTTTCGAGGACGACCCTCACCCCACATTCCTTCCTCTACAGATTTATAGGCTCTCCATGTCATTCTACTTTTATCCATTCTCTCTAAATGATCAAACCACCTCAACAACCCCTCTTCAGCCCTCTAATACTTTTATTAACTCCATACCTCCTAATTTCCACCACTCTGAATTTTCTGCATAATATTTACACCATACATTGCCCTTAGACAGGACATCTTCATTGCCTCTGTCCACCTCCTCGCTGCAGCATTTATAACCCAAGCTTCAAACCCATATAAGAGAGTTGGTACCATTATACTTTCATACAATCCCTTCTCTGCCTCCACAGATAACGTTTTTTGTCTCCACATATACCTCAACGCACCACTCACCTTTTTTTCTTCATCAATTCTATGGTTAACCTCATCCTTCATAAACCCATCCATTGACACATCAACTCCCAAATATCTGAAAACATTCACTTCCATACTTCCTCTCTCCAATGTGATATCCAATTTTCCTTTACCTAAATCATTTGATACCCTCATCACCTTACTCTTATCTAATGTTCACTTACAACTTTCTACCTTTACACACCCTCCCAAACTCGTTCACTAGCCTTTGCAACTTTTCTTTCGAATCTCCCATAAGCAGAGTATCAACAGCAAAAAATAACTGTCAACTCCCACTTTGTATTTGATTCCCCATAATTTAATCCCACCCCTCTCCCCAACACCTTATCATTTACTTGTTTTACAATCCCATCTATAACTATATTAAACCATGGTGACATTACACATCCCTGTTAAAGACCTACTTTTACCGGAAAGTAATCTCCCTCTCTTCTACACACCCTAACCTGAGCCTCACTATCCTCATAACTCTTTACAGCATTTAGTAGGTTACTACCTATTCCATATACTTGCAACATCTGCCACATTGCTCTCCTATCCACTATCATATGCTTTTTCTAAATCCAGAAATGCAATGAAAACTTCCCTACCTTTATCTAAATACTGATCACATATATGCTTCAATGTAAACACTTGATCTACACATTCCCTACCCACTCTAAAACCTCCTTACTCATCTGCAATCCTACTCTCTGTCTTACCTCTAATTCTTTCAATAATAACCCTACCGCAAACTTTTCCTGGTATACTCAGTAAACTTATTCATCTGTAATTTTTACAATCTCTTTTGTCCCCCCTTCCCTTTGTATAAAGGAACTATACATGTTCTCTGCCAATCCCTAGGTACCTTCTCCTCTTTCATACATTTATCAAACAAAAATATCAACCACTCCAACACTATATCCTCCCCTGCTTTTAACACCTCTGTCATGATCCCGTCAGTTCCAGCTGCTTTACCCCCTTTCATTCTATGTAATGCCTCATGCACCTCCCCCACACTCACATCTTGTTGTTCTTCACTTCTTAAAGATCTTATACTTCCCTGGCCAGTGTATGAAATTACTGCCTCCCTTTCTTCATCGACATTTAAGTTCCTCAAAATATTCCCACCATCTACCCAATACCTCCAGCTCCCCATCTACTAACTCCCTTACTCTGTTTTTAACTGATAAATCCATTTGTTCCCTAGGCTTTCTTAACTTGTTTATCTCACTCCAAAATTAAAATAAGAATTCTGGAGGTCGCTGCCACAACCTGGCCAGTACGACATAGTATAGACACAGAATATCGACTTAAAATACTACCTTAAGATAGCTACCATCATGGCAAGGATCACTATTTCTCTAAATAACACAAATAATACCTAGGCTCAAAGTACACAAAATAAACTAGTACATGGCAAACAACTGAGGCCTCCTAACATTGAATTGCCTTTGATTGACAGGCTAAATTATCTGCACCATTCATTTAGAACTAAATGAATACAGAGCTTTACTAAGCCCCTAAATATTGTACTGGAGTTTAACCCTTTCAGGGTCCAGAGGCCAAATTTCAAAGTGTGCACCAGTGTCCAAGAATTTTCAAAAAATTATTTTGTTATTTTTTCTGGTGAAATGGTGGAGAATCTTTTTCTGAAGGTAATAAAACAAAAAGTACAAAATTTGATGGAAAACTGGCGAAATTATGCTCTCGTGAATTTTGATGTGTCAGCGACATTCATGCATCGGCGATTTTGCCGACTTTGACTCCAATTTTAGGCCAATTACATTATTCCAGTCGACCAAATTCTTAGCTATTTCACTAGTATTACTTCTGTTCTATCGAATGAGCACAAGAAATCGCCAAGTCAACTGTTTCAACTACAAAACAAACTGATCGGAAATTGGTAATTTGGCCAATTTAATGCAAAGTTCAAAATAAAGTGGACCCCTGGTTATCGGCCGGTTCAGTTATCGGCTGGTTTTTCGGCGCCCGGTTATCGGCCGTTCATTCGGTTATCGGCCATTTGGGAGGCGTCCATCCGCCGGCTGGGGCCGCTTGTGAGTCAGTTTGACTTTGTCTCTGGGTGAGTGAGGAAGCTTCTACTCATTCATCCAAACATTTTGCTATAATCCATTGCTTTTTGTGGTTACTGATTGAGTGCAACTGCAAAATAAGCAACCATGTGCCCAAAAAAACACGTTACATAGTATATAAAAGCATGCAATGTTTATATGCGATGTATATTTAATAATCATCACTTGTACATTAAATGTCTTATTTTACATTAATATAGACATTTTCAATAATCCATCTATTATATCGTCTTCAAAATTAAATAAGAAACACGTTACATAGCATATAAACATGTAATGTTTATTATATGCCATGTATGTTTAATAATCACTCTGCCACATTAAATGTCTTATTTTATGCTAACATAGACATTTTCATTAGTCCATCTATGATATTTTCTTCAAAATTATATAAGAAACACGTTACATATCATGTAACATATAAACATAGCACATAAACATGTAATGTTTATATGTTATTGAGTGGAGAGTGGGATGGAGAGTAAACATTACGTTTTCTCTGATGCAGCGTTAGAGAAAACTGTGAATCTGGCGACTGGTGCAGTAACCGCCCTTCATATGCGTTTGTTTACAATTCTCGGCATGAATTATTCATTACTTCTCCCTTTGTTTATGATGGCATCAAAAGGTAGTTGTTAGAAACGATTAAACTCAGTGAACATGATAATAATATGGCTGTGTAGTGTAATAATATGTCTGTGTATTGTAATATGGCTGTGTAGTGTAGCCCAGAGGGGGAGGGGGCTACATATGTGTACTGTGCCTACATCTACTGCTACCTACACTGACTTCCTACAAATTAATACTACTCACCTCTTACGCTACATTAAGACTACAAATATTTTAAGGTTAGCAATGAATGTACTGTAGCAGTAAATGACAGATTAAAGAGGTGTGTGCAATGTGGAATAGGGTCCATGCTTTTGTAGAGAACCACCACCCTGACCAAGCTGAAACAAGCCATATCTGCAACATTTTCAGTGACAAAACCCTGTCCCATGTCAGGGAAATCTTAGAGAGATGCAAGAAACAAACCTGTATGGACAGATTTGTTGCGAGACAGGGGTCCAGTGACTCTCAAGCTGGTCCTAGTGGCATTAAAAGACAAAGAAGAGAAGTAACCCCAGAGAAGGCTTTGCTACCTGAAGTCTGTATGGAGGGGAAGTCCTCTTCCAAACACTAACCCTTTCAGGGTCCACAAGCCCTCTCAGAGACTTGTTCTCAGGGTCCCTCAAATTTCAAAAAAAAAAAAAAAATTATTTTTTTCTTATGAAAAGACAGAGAATCTTTTCCCGATCATAATGACACCAAAAGTATGAAATTTGATGAAAAACTTATGGAATTATGCTTTCGCGAAGTTAGTAGTCTCAACAATGTTTACGCATCGGCGATTTTGCCCGCTTTGAGCCCTATTTTCGGCCAATTCCAATGTACTAGTCGACAAAAATCACAACTATTTCGCTAGAACTCCATTTTTTCTATCGAATGAGTACAGGAAACCACCATTTTACTGATTTCAACTATCCAATACTGTGGTCAGAATTTAGCAATTTTGCCAATTTCACACAAATTTCAAAAGATGCCAATTTCCAAATAGGGTCCAGAATAAACAAGACATTCCTGGCACTAAAATAACATTTCCTCTGTTCATCAGTCACGTCCCCAGGCCCCTCTTACATTTATTTTGCCTTCTACTTTGAATTCTTATTCTCACAAAAAAAAAAATAAGATTTAGTGTTATGCAGACTACTGCATTAGTGTAGAAATGGTATAAATAATATCGGCACACTTGTGAAAAAATATTAGACTCGCCAGTTGACGTGTATTGGATGCTTAGCATGATTTGTTTACTTTTGAACTTTGGTAAAAATCGAACATTTCTGCTACTTTGAGCTCAATTTCAAGGTACTTTTCATTGTAAAACCAGTCAAAATCATCTCAATTTCTGTAGTATGTCTTCCATTCTATACAATGAGATCAGGAAAACTAGAATACAACAATAAATACCTTATGAAAATATAGTGCAAAGTCGCTGTTTTAATCCAAAAACACGGTCAAAGTTTTTTTTTCTCATTACGCACTGTGTGCCGCAGGAGTTTTTTTATACTGCGCACACTGACCACATAGAACCATTCTTTTATATGTAGGCCTACCAGCTTTCTCTCACTAGATTTGAAGGCGCTAGAATTTATGCGTACTACTACGTCATGGACACTGGCACGTAAGCCGTACTAGTACGGCCGAAACCCTGAAAGGGCTAACTCCTCCCTCTTTCCTCTTCTCTATCTTCCAGAAGCCAGCATTAGCCTTCAATAAAGGTATGTAAAACTTACATTATTGTTAAAAAAAATTATTTTTTTTTTTGTGAATATTTTTGTCTGGAACGGATTAACTGTATTTCCATTAATTCTTATGGGAAATATTAATTCGGTTTTCGGCCATTTCAGTTACCGGCCGACCTTCTGGAAGAGATTACGGCCGATAACTGAGGGTCCACTGTATTCCAATTTCAAAACAGGGTCCAGAATAAACTGTGCAGGCATTCCTGGCACTAAACTAACATTTACTCTGTTCATTAGTTGCATTTTCAGGCTTTAAAAATTAATTCCATTTTAATTTTTTATTCACATAATGAATTTTTATTCAACCAAAAAATAGAAGATTTACTGTTATGCAATATTGTAATAATTGTATAAATAATATCACCACATTTGTGAATGTATATTAGACCCACCAGCAGGCATGTATTAGACATGTGAGGTCATTTGTTTACTCTTGAACTTAGCAAAAATTTAACATTTCCACTACTTTGAGCTCAGTTTCAAGCAATTTTCAGTACTAAAACCAATCAAAATCATCTCTGTTTCTGTAATACATCTTCCATTCCATCAAATGAGACCAAGAAATTGCAAATACAACTATAAAAAAAAGCCATACAAAAAAACACTGCAAAGTCTGTTTTAATCGAAAATTATGGTCTCGGTTTTTTCTCTCATTATGCACTGTGTGCTGCAGGATTTGTTTTATGTGGTGCACACTTACCACATAGATATATTCTCTCATATCTAGGCCCAAATTTACCACTCACAGCTTATCAGAGTGAGCTGAGCTCATGGCGTAGATCTACGGTTTGGACCCTCAACGTAAAGCCATAGATCTACGGCATGGATCCTGAAGGAGTTAAAAACTTAAAAACTGATGCAACATTAAACATAATACTCATTATGCCCTTTTTTGTTTTAGCTATCTCTTCCCATAAAGCCATGATCCTTTTGCTCTTCTAATTAACCCCCATCCTAGCCCACTCTAATTCCCACAAGAATTTTGGCATTATGACCCCATGTAAATGTTTCAAATATGAAATTGTCCAGAAGCATCTTCGAAGAACTATCTAGTAAAGAAACAGACAACCAAATCATTAATAAAATTGCAAAAGTGACAAAGTTCTCCACCTGAGAAGGATAACTATCAGCATCTATTTAAAATGAAGAACGGAACATACGGTTATTTGTTCTTTATCCTCCTTTTTGGAATCTTTCTCTTTCTCCTTCTTTTCTTTGAGCTCTTTAGTAGCAGCAGCTCTACCCTTCCTTGCTCTGTTCTGTGACCAAGTGATGTTTTCTGCAATGCGTGGTCTTCTAATCCATTCATCATATCTGGTATTCCAGCCAAGATAATGTACATAGTACATTGGTGCATTACCTTCCTCTTCTACCTCTAACACCTGAAATTAAAAAAAAAAAAAAAATTAGAGATTAATCTAGTTTTTTTTTTAACACATCGGCTGTTTCCCACAGAGGTAGGGTGACCCAAGAAGAAAGAAAAAAAATAACTTCCATCATCATTCAACACTTCACCATCACTCATACACAATCACTGTCTGTGCAGAGGCACTCAGATACAACAGCTTAGATATCCCTCCAAACTGTCAATATCTGAAACCTCTCCTTTAAAGTGAAAGAATTATACTTTCCACCTCCAGGACTCAAGTTTGGCTAACCGGTTTCCCTGAATCCCTTCACAAAATATTACCCTACTCACAATCCAACAGCTGGTCAGGTCCCAAAAACCATTAGTCTCCATTCACAACTAACAAGCTCATGCATGCTTGCTGGAAGTCCAACTCCCTCCAACCTTCCCAAGGATGACCCCTATTTCACCTTTCTTCCCCAACAGATTTATACACTCTCCAAGTCATTCTACTTTGTTCCATCCTCTCTAAATGACCAAACCACCTCAACAACCCTTCTTCAGCCCTCTTACTAATACTTTTAGTAACTCCACACCTCCTAATTTCCACATTATGAATTCTCTGCATAATATTTGCACCACACAGTGCTCATAGACATGACATCACTGCCTCCAGCCTCCTCCTCATTGCAGCATTTACAACCCATGCTTTGCACCTATATAAGAGTGTTGGTACCACTATACTCTCATACATCCCCTTCTTTGCTTCCATGGATAACATTTTTTTTGTCTCCACAGATACCTCAAAGCACCACTCACCTTTTTGTCTTCATCATTTCTGTTGTTAACCTCATCCTTCATAAACCTATCTCCTGACAAGTCAACTTGCAAATATCTGAAAACATTCACTTCTTCCATATTCCCTCTCTCCAATGTGATATCCAATTTTTCTTTATCTAAATCATTTGATCCCCTCATCACCTTACTCACATCCATGTTCACTTTCAACTTTCTACTTTTACACACCCCTTCTATATATACAAGTTAACTATATATTTGTTGGTAGTAGGTTGGTAGACAGCAACCACCCAGGGAGGTACTACCGTCCTGCCAAGTGAGTGTAAAACGAAAGCCTGTAATTGTTTTACATGATGGTAGGATTGCTGATGTCTTTTGTCTGTCTCATAAATATGCAAGATTACAGGCATGTCTTGCTACTTCTACTTACACTTAGGTCACACTACACATACATATACACATTTATTCATACACACTCATCTGAGTTTTCTTTGATTTTATCTTAATAGTTCTTGGTCTTATTAATTTTCCTTTTATATCCATGGGGAAGTGGAATAAGAATCTTTCCTCCGTAAGCCATGCGTGTTGTAAAAGTCAACTAAAATGCCGGGAACAATGGGCTAGTAACCCCTTTTCCTGTAAAGATTACTAAAAAGAATAAGAAGAAGAAAATTGTCAAAGTGGGAAGTCTGAATGTGCGTGGATGTTGTGCAGATGATAAGAAAGAGATGATTGTGGATGTTATGAATGAGAAGAAGCTGGATGTCCTGGCTTTAAGTGAAACAAAGCTGAAGGGGGTGGGAGAGTTTCAATGGAGAGGAATAAATGGGATTAGGTCAGGGGTTTCAAATAGAGTTAGAGCTAAAGAAGGAGTAGCAATAATGTTGAAGGATAAGCTATGGCAGGAAAAGAGGGACTATAAATGTATTAATTCAAGGATTATGTGGAGTAAAATAAAGATTGGATGTGAAAAGTGGGTTATAATAAGCGTGTATGCACCTGGAGAAGAGAGAAGTGTAGAGGAGAGAGAGAGATTTTGGGAAATGTTGAGTGAATGCGTGGGGAGTTTTGAATCAAGTGTGAGAGTAATGGTGGTTGGGGATTTCAATGCTAAAGTGGGTAAAAATGTTATGGAGGGAGTAGTAGGTAAATTTGGGGTGCCAGGGGTAAATGTAAATGGGGAGCCTTTAATTGAGCTATGTGTAGAAAGAAATTTGGTAATAAGTAATACATATTTTATGAAAAAGAGGATAAATAAATATACAAGGTATGATGTAGCACGTAATGAAAGTAGTTTATTAGATTATGTATTGGTGGATAAAAGGTTGATGGGTAGGCTCCAGGATGTACATGTTTATAGAGGGGCAACTGATATATCGGATCATTATTTAGTTGTAGCTACAGTTAGAGTAAGAGGTAGATGGGAAAAGAGGAAGGTGGCAACAACAAGTAAGAGGGAGGTGAAAAGTGTATAAACTAAGGGAGGAGGAAGTTCGGGCGAGATATAAGCGACTATTGGCAGAAAGGTGGGATAGTGCAAAGATGAGTAATGGGGGGGTTGAAGAGGGTTGGAATAGTTTTAAAAATGCAGTATTTAGAATGTGGGGCAGAAGTTTGTGGTTATAGGAGGGTGGGTGCAGGAGGAAAGAGGAGTGATTGGTGGAATGATGAAGTAAAGGGTGTGATAAAAGAGAAAAAGGTAGCTTATGAAGAGGTTTTTACAAAGCAGAAGTGTTATAAGAAGAGCAGAATATATGGAGAGTAAAAGAAAGGTAAAGAGAGTGTGATGAGAGTGCAAAAGGAGAGCAGATGATAGAGTGGGAGAGGCACTGTCAAGAATTTTAATGAAAATAAGAAAAAATTTTGGAGTGAGTTAAACAAGTTAAGAAAGCCAAGGGGAAAAATATGGATTTGTCAGTTAAAAACAGAGTAGGGGAGTTAGTAGATGGGGAGATGGAGGTATTAGGTAGATGGCGAGAATATTTTGAGGAACTTTAAATGTTAGGAAGAAACAGAGGCAGTAATTTCATGCACTGGTCAGGGGGTTATACCATCTTTTAGGAGTGAAGAAGAGCAGAATGTAAGTGTGGGGGAGGTACGTGAGGCATTACGTAAAATGAAAGGGGGTAAAGCAGCTGGTTACTGATGGGATCATGACAGAAAATGTTAAAAGCAGGGGGGGATATAGTGTTGGAGTGGTTGGTACTTTTGTTCAATAAATGTATGAAGAGGAGGAAGGTACCTAGGGATTGGCGGAAGAGCATGTATAGTCCCTTTATATAAAGGGAAAGGGGACAAAAGAGACTGTAAAATTATAGAGGAATAAGCTTACTGAGTATACCAGGAAAAGTGTACGGTAGGGTTATAATTGAAAGAATTAGAGGTAAGACAGAATGTAGGATTGCGGATGAGCAAGGAGGTTTCAGAGTGGGTAGGGGATGTGTAGATCAAGTGTTTACATTGAAGCATATATGTGAACAGTATTTAGATAAAGGTAGGGAAGTTTTTATTGCATTTATGGATTTAGAAAAGGCATATGATAGAGTGGATAGAGGAGCAATGTGGCAGATGTTGCAAGTATATGGAATAGGTGGTAAGTTATTAAATGCTGTAAAGAGTTTTTATGAAGATAGTGAGGCTCAGGTTAGGGTGTGTAGAAGAGAGGGAGACTATTTCCCGGTTAAAAGTAGGTCTTAGACAGGGATGTGTAATGTCACCATGGTTGTTTAATATATTTAATAGATGGGTTTTAAGGAAGTAAATGCTAGGGTGTTTGGGAGAGGGGTGGGATTAAATTATGGGGAATCAAATTCAAAATGGGAATTGACACAGTTACTTTTTGCTGATGATACTGTGCTTATGGGAGATCTAAAGAAAAATTGCAAAGGTTAGTGGATGAGTTTGGGAATGTGTGTAAAGGTAGAAAGTTGAAAGTGAACATAGAAAAGAGTAAGGTGATGAGGGTGTCAAATGATTTAGATAAAGAAAATTGGATATCAAATTGGGGAGGAGGAGTATGGAAGAAGTGAATGTTTTCAGATACTTGGGAGTTGACGTGTCGGCGGATGGATTTATGAAGGATGAGGTTAATCATAGAATTGATGAGGGAAAAAAGGTGAGTGGTGCGTTGAGGTATATGTGGAGTCAAAAAACGTTATCTATGGAGGCAAAGAAGGGAATGTATGAAAGTATAGTAGTACCAACACTCTTATATGGGTGTGAAGCTTGGGTGGTAAATGCAGCAGCGAGGAGACGGTTGGAGGCAGTGGAGATGTCCTGTTTAAGGGCAATGTGTGGTGTAAATATTATGCAGAAATTCGGAGTGTGGAAATTAGGAGAAGGTGTGGAGTTAATAAAAGTATTAGTCAGAGGGCAGAAGAGGGGTTGTTGAGGTGGTTTGGTCATTTAGAGAGAATGGATCAAAGTAGAATGACATGGAAAGCATATAAATCTATAGGGGAAGGAAGGCGGGGTAGGGGTCGTCCTCGAAAGGGTTGGAGAGAGGGGGTAAAGGAGGTTTTGTGGGTAAGGGGCTTGGACTTCCAGCAAGCGTGCGTGAGCGTGTTAGATAGGAGTGAATGGAGACGAATGGTACTTGGGACCTGACGATCTGTTGGAGTGTGAGCAGGGTAATATTTAGTGAAGGGATTCAGGGAAACCGGTTATTTTCATATAGTCGGACTTGAGTTCTGGAAATGGGAAGTACAATGCCTGCACTTTAAAGGAGGGGTTTGGGATATTGGCAGTTTGGAGGGATATGTTGTGTATCTTTATATGTGTATGCTTCTAGACTGTTGTATTCTGAGCACCTCTGCAAAAACAGTGATAATGTGCGAGTGTGGTGAAAGTGTTGAATGATGATGAAAGTATTTTCTTTTTGGGGATTTTCTTTCTTTTTTGGGTCACCCTGCCTCGGTGGGAGACGGCCGACTTGTTGAAAAAAAAAAAAAAAAAAAACTATATATGCTCTCTGCCACCAGTACCAAGACTGATGATTACTAATCTTGAAACTTGCCATTACCTTTGCTTCATATGTGACCTTCGACTCCTTAGCACTTGGTCCATAGAGCACCCGTAGCTTATCTCCAACACTCACAGGAACATGTGCAGGAATAAGTGCCTTCCCCCTATTGTGTGGCAAAATATAAATTAATTATTAATTTTGTACAGACCACAAATAACAATATTTACGTGCAGTTCGGAAATATTGCAAAACAAATTTTAATATCATCTCTCTCCTAAATATAAAGAAATACATGTATTCATCAACTCATTACATTTGAGAAAAGATGAATGAATAAAAAGAAACAAGCCACTTTAACCATTACAAAAGCATGCAAAATATACAATAAAAAGCTACACAAAGCAATTAAGACATATCTAGTCTGAGAAGTAAACAACAAACAATAAAATAATTAAAAAATATTGACTTTTTGGACAATGATATGTTACACTGGCAAACTACAAAACACCCTTCGGATATATGGAAAAGGAAATGTTATAAAAAATATTTTCAATGTATGGTGGATCAAAATTTGGAAATGAAGTGGTAGTGTGGTGTCCTCGCCTAAAAAGAATACGTGGACAAGACAGAAAAGTCTGAAGATAAACTACAATTCTTTCTTCTTTCAACAAACTGGCCATATCCCACCAAAGCAGGGTGGCCCAAAAACAAAAATAAAAGTTTCTTTTTTTTTAACTTTAGTAACGTATACAGGAGAAGGGGTTACTAGCCCCTTGCTCCCAGCATTTTAGTCACCTCTTACAACATTCATGGATTACGGAGGAAGAACTGTTCTACTTCCCCATGGAGAAAAAAGGAAATAAACAAGAACAAGAACTAGTAAGAAAATAGAAGAAAACCCAAACTGGTGTGTATATATATGCTTGTACATGCATGTGTAATGTGACCCAAGTGTAAGTAGAAGTAGCAAGACGTATCTGAAATCTTGCATGTTTATGAGACAGAAAAGACACCAGAAATCCTAACATCATGTAAAACAATTACAGGCTTTTGTTTTACACTCACTTGGCAGGACGGTAGCACCTCCCTGGGCGGTTGCTGTCTACCAACCTACTACCTAATATAAACTACAATTATGAGTTATTAAGACAAAGTATTAAACACACTCTTAGCTTACAGGAAACATGATAATCATATGCAAGAAGTAGAGTGAAATCTAGCAAGTCAGTCACATGACTAGCACACAGGAGGATTAAGTCTCCACCATTCCTGGCCTAGAATGACCCACACTGGTTGAGCATTTCACATAAAAGAAAAATAATAAAGCTATATAAAAATACAGGAAACAAATCTTAGCACCATTAGCAAGAAGAAATAAGAAGCAGCAACTAAAATTAGAAAAATCAGTATCAAAAAGATATTAGAGTTGTAGAACAGTGAAATAAGATAAAAGAGGTAGACTGTGCCCAAATGACTAGGAATTGAATAAAAATATATAAACATTACTAAAAACTAAGCAGAGGACATCAGGAGTATAGATGTGCTTGTATAACAAGAAACAGGTTATGAAGTACATACATACATACGTACATACATTGGGAACGAGATGTGTGGGCTGTAACGTGTTTCAGTCATTAGATGCATGTGTTAACATAGGCAGTAAGTGTACAAGTTTTAGACCCTGTCAACCTTAATTATATACCAACAAGACTGTGCAACAATAACCACAATTCCCAACCCACATTTTCTCATCAGACATTCACAATATCTTATCTATCCAATTAAAACCCCTTTTTCCAAATCCATAAATGCAGCAACAGCTGTTTTCACTCATCCAACTATTGTTCACTTATATACTTCAATAGCCCACACATTCTCTTTCCTACTAAATCTTTGCTCATCCTCCATAATTCTACCCATATTACCTGTGACTGGTTTCAAAGGCTTTTCATTTTTGAGCAATGTTACTGTTCCTGACTGTACCATGGAGAGAAACACTCAAAAATGACACTTGCACAGTAATGCTTCCAAGAATGAACTTGTCCAGCTGTTCCTGTTTACTTATGTGTAATGACCTATTTTACCTATTTGTATGCTTTTAAGATGTATGAGGATTTTCTGTTTATGGTGAGCTCAGGAAGAACATGCAGACTCTTCTCACTAATAAAAAAAAAAAAAAAAAAAAGTCAACTTTTAAACATAAAATTCATACTAACAAAGGCGGCTCTACTTCCCCTTCCACCTTCTTCTTACGGCCTCGTTTCTTAGCACCTGGAGAATCTTCTGCTGGCAGGGGCACACCTGTTTGCCCTGGGCCACCTTTGGTTACCTTGTTCTTCTTGATCTTCTTATCACTAGTATTTACAGAAGTGCCACTGGAGCTAGAGGTAGGGGCAGAGGTAGGTGTACTAGACACTGTGGAATCATCATCATCCTCATCATCATCATCATTTTCTGGAGTAGGAGTTGGAGTGGGAGTAGGAGCTGGAGTACACACACTAACTGCAGTAGATGCAGCTGCTAAAGGTGTTGCAGAGGTAGCAGCTGTAGAAATAGCAGCAACAATAGAAGAAGCAGTAGTAGTGGTGGTAGTGGTGGTAGTAGTAATAGTAGTAGTGGTAGTAGTAATAGTATCAGCAGCAGACACAGCAGTAGTAGTAGCAGTAAAAGCAGCAGCAGGAGCAGCAGCTGCAGTAGCAGCAGTAGTAACAGCAACAGCAGAAACAGTAGCAGGAGCAGCAGCAGCAACAGTAGTAACACCAGCAGTAGTGGTATTAGTAGCTGTAGTAGTAGTGGAAGCAACAGTAACAGTGGCATTAATAGTAGTAATAGTTTCAGTAGTGGCAGTAGCAGCAGTAGTGGTTGTAGTAGCAGTAGCATCAGCACAAAGAATTGTAGCAGTAGCAGCAGATATATTATTAGTAGCAAGAGCAGGAGGTACAGCAGGAGGAGGAGGAGGAGGAGGAGGAGGAGGAGGAGGAGCAGCAGGAGGAGCAGCAGCAGCAGCAGCAGCAGCAGCAGCAGCAGCACTACTACTGACAGAACGTTCTATCTTTGTTTTTCTTGTTGGTGTAGTCATCTTCTTTGTGCATTCTTCTTTCTCACGGCACTCCTCACGTTTAGATGATGATCGAGTCTGAGCCTAAGGTACAAAAATTAAAAAAATATAGATTTTCTGCTTATCAAATAATACTTACAACAATTTTTAAATGCTTTAAAATATATTTACATGCATGCCCAATGCAGAGGGAATATTCAGCCACTTTGACTCTACCAAAGCTATGTCTACAACTGCCGCTCCTCCCTTCCCCTGCAGTCCACTATCTTAGCATGTCTCCTGGTTGATGGAATGATCAGATTATTGATACTTGTTATCTGCTAATGATGTAGGCATCATACAAGGTAATAGTACTGAAAAATAGTGTGCTCTTCATCTTGGTTATTTTAGCTTACTTATTAAACCTATTATTAAACTTATTATTAAACTTATTAAACTTATTAAAGTGGGAGTTGTCACAGCTGCTCTTTGCTGATGACACTGTGCTCTTGGGAGATTCTGAAGAGAAGTTGCAGAGATTGGTGGATGAATTTGGTAGGGTGTGCAAAAGAAGAAAATTAAAGGTGAATACAGGAAAGAGTAAGGTTATGAGGATAACAAAAAGATTAGGTGATGAAAGATTGAATATCAGATTGGAGGGAGAGAGTATGGAGGAGGTGAATGTATTCAGATATTTGGGAGTGGACGTGTCAGCGGATGGGTCTATGAAAGATGAGGTGAATCATAGAACTGATGAGGGAAAAAGAGTGAGTGGTGCACTTAGGAGTCTGTGGAGACAAAGAACTTTGTCCTTGGAGGCAAAGAGAGGAATGTATGAGAGTATAGTTTTACCAACGCTCTTATATGGGTGTGAAGCATGGGTGATGAATGTTGCAGCGAGGAGAAGGCTGGAGGCAGTGGAGATGTCATGTCTGAGGGCAATGTGTGGTGTGAATATAATGCAGAGAATTCGTAGTTTGGAAGTTAGGAGGAGGTGCGGGATTACCAAAACTGTTGTCCACAGGGCTGAGGAAGGGTTGTTGAGGTGGTTCGGACATGTAGAGAGAATGGAGCGAAACAGAATGACTTCAAGAGTGTATCAGTCTGTAGTGGAAGGAAGGCGGGGTAGGGGTCGGCCTAGGAAAGGTTGGAGAGAGGGGGTAAAGGAGGTTTTGTGTGCGAGGGGCTTGGACTTCCAGCAGGTATGCGTGAGCGTGTTTGATAGGAGTGAATGGAGACAAATGGTTTTTAATACTTGACGTGCTGTTGGAGTGTGAGCAAAGTAACATTTATGAAGGGGTTCAGGGAAACCGGCAGGCCGGACTTGAGTCCTGGAGATGGGAAGTACAGTGCCTGCACTCTGAAGGAGGGGTGTTAATGTTGCAGTTTAAAAACTGTAGTGTAAAGCACCCTTCTGGCAAGACAGTGATGGAGTGAATGATGGTGAAAGTTTTTCTTTTTCGGGCCACCCTGCCTTGGTGGGAATCGGCCAGTGTGATAATAAAAATAAAAATTATTAAACCTCACATATTTTGCTAAGGCAATTTTGCATATTTTACTCTGCATTTTTTTTTTTTTTTTTGTAAAGCTAAATAATTATCACGTGTTGTAAAAAAAATTGTGAAGTACTGTTAGGCATGAATTATTTTTCTATGCCCTCCACATTTTAAGAAAAAAAGTAAATTAAACACTGACTAAGTTAAATGAAAAGACTATCTCTGCCAGGTATAATTAACCACTATGCAAAACTATTAGAATACTTATAATCATTCATCCTCAGTTCCCTCCTCATAGTATCTAAATGTATTCGGCACTCCTCTTTTAGAAAGTAAATATACAGGTGCACCTCGACTTATGAGGTTATGTTCTGACTAACCCAATCGAGTGAGCTTCAGTTCACTGCCATGCAGTGCAGCTCAAAGGCAGCAATGAAAGTGACACCAACACAAAAAACATAACCTTCCAAATGCTGGTGCAATGGGGAGTAGTCTACTTCACCTAATAAGTTGTGAAAGACTCACTTCCAGACTAGGAAGTTTTTTTTTTTTTTTTTTAACATATTGGTCATCTCCCACCAAGGCTCAAGAAAGAAGGATACCTTACTAATGCTTTCTTCTTTTTACATTTAGTAATTTATACAGAAGGGCTTGCTCCCAGCATTTTAGTCGCCTCTTACGAGACACAGTGAAACCTGCTTATATAGGCCATAACAAATGGGATTACACTTGGAGAAAAAGGTAAAAGGTGTAACTGAGTTAAGGAGTAGTAGCGAGATCTCTCCTGTTATTGTAGGGTATTTTTCACAGGTTGTGTTCTAGTGCTTCATCATAGCTAACCCAGAAAGATTATCAGCCTAATTTTTGTTACCAAAAATTGCTAACATCCAAATATAAAAATTCACAATGAGTGGACAATTAGTTCCCAAACCAACCAACAAGCTACAGCACATGTAAAAAAACAATGCCAAATGGCAATACACAATTATTTCAAGATTCAAGTAAATCTGTTGTGATTTCCTCAAGGCACTGTAATGAAAAGGATAAACAAAAACTATAAGGTAGTTTACCTCTAGAGATAACTAATGACAGCTTATTAGCTGTGCCTGAAATTGCACTGCAACTGTCCCTCCATAAAGGTAAGAAAAATTAACCTTACAAAAATAATTAGAAAGTCTTACCATCTCTATCTCCTCCTCAGTGCTTCCCTCATCATTTTCTTCCTTTTCCTTTTTATCCTCTTTCTTATCATCCTTAGTACTTGAACGAGTTTTTATTTCTAAACTTTCAGCTTTATCCTCTTTAGTGCTAGCTCGTGTCTTTACTTCTACACCTTCAGTTTTAGCTGCAGCAGCTCTAGTTTTTGCTTCAGATCTGGGGGTTCTAGGTTCTCTTAATCTTTCTTTCGGTGAGGATGACTCTCCTGATACATCTTTGGCACTAGCCGATTCCTTATTTCTGTCTTTGTTTACAGATGGTTCTCGAGACCTCTCCCGAGTTACCGCAGGCTCATGAGATCTCTCTCTTACCAAGCCAGGCTCTCGAGAGCGCTCCCGCGTCATAGCTGGCTCCCTAGACCTCTCTCTTGTTAACAATGGCTCTCTAGACCTTTCTCTTGTTACTGATGCTTCTTGATCACCAGCTTTGTGAGAATCTTGCTTGCTACTCCTGAAAGACAAAATTAAGGTAAGAAAATATGTATTTCATCATGAAATTTGACTTTATATGGACAAATACTTGTCGAATTTGTAAATATACTTTTCAACAGTAGCAAACTCAATCTGTAAAAATACATGTAAACACACCATTTACTCTTATTAAGCTGCTAAGAGGAAACCAGATACAACTTTTATTGCCATGTTTTCTGTTTCTTATCAAGGTAGCATGACACAAATGATGAAATGTATTTATCATCATTCATTTACTAGCTGTTTTGCCAGAAGTGTGTGGACATAATTCAAATGACCTCACACTTCTGGTAAGATGACTACTGACTGATCAAGGTGAATCTTTACCTCTGAGCCACTACCTTGGAAGGAAATAGCCAATGCAGGAAAAAGAAAATAACATTGAAATGGTTGCTCTTTGTAGCTTAATGGAAGTATGTCAAGGTTAGTAAAATGTTTTGCAAATCTTTTTCTTTCTTTCAACAAACTGGCCAAATCCCACCAAAGCAGGGTGGCCCAAAAAGAAAAACAAAAGTTTCTCTTTTTAATTTTAGTAATGTATACAGGAGAAGGGGTTACTAGCCCCTTGCTCCCAGCATTTTAGTCACCTCTTACGACACGCATGGTTTACGGAGGAAGAATTCTGCTCCATTTATTTTACAAATGTAAATTGTAAATACAGGCTCTACTCACTTAATGATGGAGTTCCGTTCTTAAGACCATGTCGTTAAACAAATTCGTCACTAAGTGAGGAGAATACAGTGGAACCTCGGTTTTCATCATTAATTCATTCCAGAAAGTCTGACAAAAACCAAATTTGACGAAAACTGAAGCAACATTTCCCATAAGAAATACAGTGGACCCCCAGATTAAGACATCATCTGAATAAGTAACAATCGGAATAAGTAACATATTTGCGTCAAAATATTGGCTCGGTGAACATCACTGAACTCGGTATAAGTCATTCGTGTCGGGGCCTGAGTTGCCCAGCGTGCCATTGTTTACCAGTCAGTGAGGACGATTCCACGCGTTAATATGATGCATTTTGTATTATTCCATTCTTTTTAGTGCTTTTAACTGCTAAATAAGCCACCATGGGCAGAAAGAAAGCTTCTAGTTCCAGCCAGCCCTTTGGTAAAGAGCTGAGAGAGAGGGAACAATGTGCCTTTTTTAGTGATTCTGCAATATGTATGATACTAAAGCAACTGGAGTCTATAAAGGCTATAGCACCAGTCAGCGATAAAGTGTAGCATTAACTGTAGCAAGTAAGTTAAGCGATTAATCGATAGAAAAAGGACAGCACGAAACTGACTCCTTCATTGTTGTTGGAGATATACAGGGCTACTGACTAACACCGCCACCTCTGCTGCCGCCTTCACCACCACTATGTAAGGCTCCTCTTTCAGTGGCCCTTATACACCCAACAACAAACATGCCACCACTCGTGACATTCTAATGCCATATTTTATTCATTCTAGAGCATATATCATGTTTCTATGTTATTAATATTGTTTATTATGTCATATAAGATGAATTGTGCTAGATAAATAAGCCGTATAGTTGATATTAGTGTCATATTGAAGGACTATCTTGTCCTGTCTCCCAAAACAATTGCTAACATATGCCAGAAACAGACCTCTCTGGAACACTCAATAGAGTGACAGGGGTCCAATGACTCTCAAGCTGGTCCTAGTGGCATTAAAAAACAAAGGAGAGAAGTAATTTGAAGTCTTTATGGAAGGGGATTACCCTTCCAAACAACTGTAAACTCCTCCATCCTCCCCTCCTCCCATCTTCCATACATCACCATGTCTTCAATAAAAGTAAGTGTGATGTTATTATTGTTTTATTCTTCATGTATCATTGTTTTCTGTGTGGGTATATGTATATTTCATGTAGAAAACATTTTTTTAATACTTAATCAGATTATGCTTATCCAGATGGCTTCTTATAAACTCAGCTATAATTGATTCTAATAATTTGCCTACTATAGATGTCACGCTTATTGGACGGTGTGGAAAAAGACACTTATGTCTGAAACAGATTAATTGGATTTCCATTATTTCTTATGGGGAAAATTAATTCGGAATACGTCACTCTCTCTGGAAAGAATTAATCTCATAATCCAGGGGTCCACTGTAATGTAAATCCAATTAATCAGTTCCAAACACCCAAAAATATTAACAAAAAATGCATTTTATAGAGAATAACTATAGTTTTACATACAGAAAACAATGAGAAATAAATATAAAGACTAATGAAATGGATAAATGAACATTTAACATCAGTTTTACCTTTATCGAAGACTCTTGTTGGTGTATGGAAGACGGCGAGGAGGGGAGAGAGAGAGGAGAGGTTATCTCTATCAATACCACCCATCAATACCACCCTCTACCACCATGATTACCACCCTCTATCATCACTACCACTCTCTACCACCATCACTACCACCCTCTACCATCATCATTACCACCCTCTACCACCATCACTACCACCCTCTACCACCATCACTACCACCCTCTACCACCATCACTACCACCCTCTACCACTATCACTACCACCCCCTACCACCATTGCTACCACCCTCTACCACCATCACTACCACCCTCTACCAGCATCACTACCACCCTCTGCCACCATCACTACCACCTGCCACCATCACTACCACCCTCTGCCACCATCACTACCACCCTCTATCACCACCACTACCACCATCACTACCACCCTCTACCACCATCACTACCACCTTCTGCCACCATCACTACCACCCTCTACCACCACCACTACCACCCTCTACCACCACCACTACCACCCTCTAACACCACCACCCTCTACCACCACCACTACCACCCTCTACCACCATCACTACCACCTTCTGCCACCATCACTACCATCCTCTACCACCCTCTGCCACCATCACTACCACCCTCTACCATCATCACTACCACCCTCTGCCACCACCACTACCACCCTCTACCACCATCACTACCACCCTCTACCATCATCACTACCACCCTCTACCACCATCACTACCACCCTCTACCACCATCACTATCACCCTCTACCATCATCACTACCACCCTCTACCACCATCACTACCACCCTCTACCATCACTACCACCCTCTACCACCATCACTACCACCTTCTGCCACATCACTACCACCCTCTACCACCATCACTACCACCCTCTACCATCATCACTATCACCACCACTACCACTTCTACCACCATCACTACCACCCTCTACCACCATCACTACCACCTTCTGCCACCATCACTACCACCCTCTATCACCACCACTACCACCCTCTACCACCACCACTACCACCCTCTCCCATCATCACTACCATCCTCTACCACCACCATTACCACTGTCAAGTGGGTTTTCGATAACGTGGATGGGTAAAAATACTCACGTAGGCTGGTAGCATGTATAATATATAACGGGGAGTATAGGAAGCGCCAACAGCCGACCTGCCTCTCTCTGCTCCCTATCTTCGACTGACTCTCAAGTGCCTACGGGTGAGGGGTGTTTGAAATCCTGCTATGGTCAGCAGCAATATGAATAATCAGTCAGTGATTCACGCAGACGGTTGGTAGTGAGTCATCTACTGGTACACTGGTTACTGGTAACTGGTTACTAGGAACTGGTACTACTACTGAGAGCTCGGCAACGCTTGAGACCACCTTCTACCATCATCACTACCACCCTCTACCACCATCACTACCACCTTCTACCACCCTTTACCACCATCACTACCACCTTCTGCCACCATCACTACCACCACCACTACCACCCTCTACCATCATCACTACCACCCTCTACCACCACCCACTACCACCATCACTACCACCATCACTACCACCATCACTACCACCCTCTACCACCATCACTACTGCCTTCTACCACCATCACTACCACCTTCTACCACCATCACTACCACCCTCTACCACCATCACTACCACCCTCTACCACCATCACTACCGCCTTCTGCCACCATCACTACCACCCTCTACTGACAAGAAAAAGCCAGACTGACTCAGAACACGTGGGATGCTTTGTGTGGGTGCGGGTGGACACATTCGGTATGGCAGATCACTATCAACTCGACGATAACCAAGGTGATGAATGAAAACTGGGACAAAATTTTGACAAAAAAAAAAAAAAAAAAAAAAAAAGTCGTTGAAAACCAAATTTGACGAAAACCAGGGCAAATAAAAACCAAGGTTCCACTGTACTTTAATGGTAGTGAGTTTGTGTCAATCATCTTTGATACCGTTTTTATGTCACTATTGCACCATTTATAAAATTTCTGGTATATTTTTAAATGTTTATACAGTAGTATACTGTATACTGGAATAAACAGAATAGAGGAAATCAGCTCTAATATACATTATTTAGGAATGAATACTGGTCAGAGAGCCTGTCAGATGACTGAGGCGTTGGTAAATGATTATGTTGCTAAGTGAGGAGAAGATGTAATTAATGAAATACAATTCAAACCAGTTGGGAAAGGCTTGCAAACTTCCATGAACATTAATTGAATTATAGTATATTAAACATTTCAGTCACAAATCAGTCTCCATCATCAGGATTCGGTTCTGGAGTAGTATATAATACAGTGGACCCTCGACCAGCGATATTAATCCATTCCTGAGAGCTCATCATTAATCGAAATTATCGTTAGTCGAGTTAATTTTCCCCATAAGAAATAATGGAAATCAAATTAATCCGTGGAAGACACCCAAAAGTATTGAAAAAAAAAATTTTAATACACACAAACTAAAGAAGACATGCACAGTTACATGACACTTACCTTTATTGAAGATCTGGTGATGATTGATGGGATGGGAGGAGGGGAGATTGTTGATGGTGTTAGTGTTTAGAAAGGAAATCCCCTTCCATTAGGACTTGAGGTGGCAAGTCCTTTTTTGGGGTTACTTCCCTTCTTTTAATGCCACTAGGACCAGCTTGAGAGTCACTGGACCTCTGTCGCACA